TTCCTGCAACACTCCCAAGGGCAGAGGGGCCGGGATGATTCCTAGGTCCTGCCAGGCTTGGAGAGCCCCGCAGGTGGATGGCTCAAGAAGAGCCTGGGGCACCGGGGCTGGGGTGTGAGCCCTGCAGGGTGGAGGATGTGCGGGCAGCAGCCACAGATGCGCTGGGGAAGACCTGGGCCAGTGGCAGGAGCATTGGAGGAAAAGACTCGGGGAGAGACGGGTCACACCGAGAGACTTGGCATCTGAAGTGCCGAGACAGGGAAGCCAGTTAGGAATGAGTGAGGACACAGGACCCGGGAGGGAGGTCCAGAGAGGAGACAGCAGGCGAGCAGCCTGGGCAGCGGGAGGCTGTGGGCACTGCTGGCCTGTGGGACACTGTCCCGGGTGACCTCCTCGCTGTACTCAGGGGACGCCCTTCTGGAGTTTGCCCAGAAATCACACTCCCTGCACACAGCGCTTTTGTTTGTTTGTTTGAATGTGTGTTTGGTTTGGTTTGGGGGAACACCCAGCAGTGCACAGGGGGACCATTGGGATGCTAGGGATCGAACCCAGGTTGGCTGTGTGTGAGACAAGAGTCCTGCCCACTGTGCTATCTCCCCAGACCCTCCCTGTTCAGCTATATTTCTTTTTTTTTCTTTTCATTTGTTTTTTTTTTTTGGGGGGGGGGTGCTGGAGCGATAGCACAGTGGGTGGGGCGTTTGCCTTGCATGCGGCTGAACCGGGTTCAATTCCTCTGTCTCTCTCAGAGGACCCGGCAAGCTACCCAGAGTATCCCGCCCACACTGCAGAGCCTGGCAAGCTACCATAAGCGTATTCGACATGCCAAAAACAGTAACAACAAGTCTCACAATGGAGATGTTACTGGTGCCCGCTCGAGCAAATCGATGAACAACGGAAGGACAGTGCTACGGGGCAGTGCTACATTTTTTGGGGGGGGGGGCATACCTGATGATGCTCAGGTATACTCCTGGCTTTCCACTCAAGAATTACTCCTGGCGGTGCTGGGGACCATATGGGATGTCGGGGATCGATCCAGGGTTAGTGGCGTGCAAGGCAAACACCTTCCCCACTGTACTATTACTCTGGCCCACAATGCTGTTTCTTAAATTAGAGCTTGACGTTCATGCCAACCACAGTCACTGGGAAAAGTCAGAAAAATAGAAGCACCGAAGCGGTAAGGACAAACAGCGTCTACTCGCTCTCATGGGCTTGACCCAGCACCCCGTGCCTGATCTTCCTCGGTGCTCCATCTCCTCCCCTAGAGAGAACATCTAACCACACAGCAGGCGATTCGGAAGTGTAGTTCGAACTCCGGAGCACAACCTCCCACCCCAGGGTTTCAGCCCTGCACGTCATCCATCTGGACGACATCTGGCAAGCAGGTGAATGAGCTCTGTGCCTCAGTTTCCCCATCTGTAAAAGGCGGAGAGGACCCTGCCATTCAGAGGGCTGCTGCGATGATGACTTCATGGGGCCTGTCACAGGGGGACGAGACCTCGGGGGAACAGCCACGTGGGCACGACCACGCTGCCCAGGGCATCTGGGTGACCGGTCCTCCTTGCAGCCAGGGCTGACCACACTCTCTCTCCTTAACCTCCTCCTCTTCCTCCTGGGCGCCGCTAGGCTGTTTTCGGCAGTTTCTCTCTGTCAACAGCCCCGCACAGACACCTCTGCACACCTCTGGAACGGAAAATTCGGGCGCTGACTCACAGATCACACGTGTCTGGGAGCTTTGGATACGTCGCCGCCACCTCGCGCTGGGTAAGTAGCACCAGGTTACCCTCCCGGGGCCCCCGGAAACAGCCGCCTCTCCCCCTGTTTGGGGGCGGCCCTAGGCACCCCCTCCTCCCCTTCCCGCTGGACTCCCCCGCTCGTCTCTGCAGCCCCCAACCTCATCATTGTGGCACTCTGGGAAGCAGTGAAGCGTGCCAGAATGGGAACGGGAATCCGCGATTCTATTTTCAGCCGCCTGGGAAGGGCGGTGAATTGATGCCTCAGTTTCTCCATGGAAAGGGAGGGTGGACCCCGCTGCCAACAGCCAAACAGGGGCTCAGCTGGGTGTAGCCTCTGAAGCCAGTGCGATGAACACCCCACACGAGAAGGGCACCAGGAGCCTGACAGAACGGGTCCGAGGCTCTGCCTTCCAAACCCACATCAAGTGTGTCTTTAATCTCCAGTCCAGTCCCCAGGCTCCCAGGGGACTCCGTCAGACCCCGGGATCTGCCCGGTCACCGCTCTTTCTGACTCCGAGCTGCCTTGTGGGCACAGGGAGCACAGCCACACAGACACCGGCCACCTTCCTGCTTGGAAACGCATGGATGGATGCTCCCCGCTGACCACAGCGCACCAAGAGACGGAACAGCCCACTCCGAGGGCCGGGTGCCTGTCCACGGAGTGGGGGACCGGGACAAGCTAGGTGCAGATGTGACACTACTGGCGCCTTCTCACCCTGCCACGAGACCTTGCTCCCAGGTCGGACGTGCTCAGAGGACCAGGAGAGCTCCAAGGGTGCTTTGTCGTGGGAACCCCAGCATGATTCCCGAACTGTGCCCTGAAACTCACTTTCCCAAGCCCAGTGCTCCCCAAGGCCCGCAAGGGAGCCTGGAACACACCGCGGGCCGTGACAATTGATGGATATGAGCTTCCCCTGGGACCCCCAAACACTGCCGCCCCCACCCCCAGTCTCTGGTCTGGAACTGAAAGGCTGGGCTGGACGAGACCACCCTAGACAGCCTGACCAGAGAGGAAACACTCCTGGGCGTAGGTCTCACTTTGTCCTGTCACAGAATCCCAGGCCTCCTGGGGGCCCCTGGGGCTCATGTGAGAGACCCCGGAAAGAGCCAGACCATCGGGAAAGACCGACATCCGGTGAGTGGAGGAAGTGGGGAGGGAGGCACCCGACGTGGAGGCGGCCACTCAGGGCCAAGGGCACGACGACCACTGTCCCCGTGACCCGTTCCACACACTTGCACCCCTGACTGCTGAAGCAGCATGTCCAGGGTCCCTGCCCAGAGGGAGAGTGAAGAGTGGCCTCAGGCCAGGTCAGGGGTTGGGGGGGACATGGTGACCACCAGGGACACTCTGCATGGCAGAGCAATGGGAGGAGCCTGACGGGAAGGGTGAGACGTGCCACTGCCTCATTCGAACGGGGGTGTGAGCGTGGAGGGGGAAGGGGCAGTGGGCCCCGAAGAGGGCAGTGGCTGTGGGGCTCAGCAGAGCAGCCATGTGAGCCTGGAGGCATTCAGCACGCATTGAGCGCTTGCTGTATACGCTCCCCCCTTCCCAGCCTGGCCCGCCACACACTGTCCTACAAGGCGAGGCTGCCACCTTATCCGGATGCCTGGGAGATGGCATCAAGAGCCGGGGAGAGACCCAAAGCCCCTGGGGGCCAAAGCCAGGCTGGACAGAGAGCCACTTCAGAGACAAGGAGATCAAGGAGCTAGGGTCGGGGTGGGGGGGGCAGGTCCGGTCAGGCGTGACCCTGGAGAATGCTCCAGAGCACGGGGCACCCGCCTGGCCAGAGACCACAAAACTGCAGGCCCAGGGACTGTGCAATCAGGTGGGGTGGGGATTTAATTTCCATTTTGTTTTTATTATTTTGGGGTCACACTTAGTGATGCCCAGGGTTTCTTCTGACTCTGTACTCTGGGGTTACTCCTGGTGGTCTCAGGGGACCAAATGGGACACTGGGGATCGAACCCGGGTCAGTGGCATGTACACAAGTGCATCAACCCCCCAAGGTGCTGTCTCTCTGGACCAAGGGCTGGGATTTGAACCCAGATCTGGGAGAGAGGAAGGGAGTGAGAGAAGAGGCTGATGGAAGAGACTGGGGCGGGGTGGGCTAGGGTGGGGGTGGACAGAGTGAGGGAGGAGAGCATCGGGGTCCTGGGGGGCCAAGGACAGTAACCCAAGGGGATCTGTCCCAGTCAGGCTAGAGCCTCAGACCCAGGGAACTCAGAACCATAAGCAGGTGGAGTAAAGAAGGGCTGGGACTCCTGGGTCAGGACAGGAGGGCACAGCACATGGGGACCCCCTCCCCCCCCTCCCCCCCCCCCCCACCTTCCAGGGCTCTGAGGACCAGGGACTGTGCAAACCTCCATGCAGCAGCGTGAGGATGTGCTCAGATGCGCTCAGAGCCTGTAGGTGCCTCTGAAGTCTGGGGGCGCCGGGGCTGAACGGGGTGCGGGTGGGCTAACTGGGGGAGGCTCGAGCACTGGGTAGCTCCTGAAGTCAGAGCCCCAACCCCAGTCCCTCATCCCTGTACGCCCCTCCCCCACTCCCGCCAGGAAATTCTTTCCTTGGGGTCCGTTTCAACCACGTTCCAACCACCACGGCGGCCACTCGGCGGCCACTCGCTGCATCATCTCTCTCTGGGCTCTCACCCCAGACTGTCTCAGCGAGGGGCACCCCCGCGCGGTCACCAGTTTGGGGGCTCCTGGGCCCTGGGCAGTGACCTGGCCGGCTGGAGTGTCCGGAGTCCAGCTGCTCAGCCAGAAGGGGCTGAGTGTCCCCCTGGTCAGTCCTGGGGGCGGGGGGGGTGGCGGTGTCTCCTTTCCCTCCTGTCCGGCTCCGTCCGCTGCCCCAGGAGCACCGCACACCCTTGAGCCCCCCACCCCCAACTCCTTCCCCCTCCTCCTGTGGATTCAGAGGGGCGACTGTCCACTTATTCAGCGGGAGACCCCCAGTCATCGGTCCCTCAGTGTGGCTTTCCACTTCCCCGGGCCACGAGTCTCCACTCGGGGCAAGAAACTTCTCGGCGGGAGCCGCGCGGCGCGGCGCCAGGGGGACCTCGGGAACAGGAGCGCGGCGGCGGGGGGTCTCGGGGACCCTCCGCTCTGGCGGGAGGCGGCAGCGGCTCTGAGCGCCTACGGGGGACCTGGGGCCGCGGGACTCGGAGTGCAGTGCCCCCCACCCCAAGTCCGCGCCCGCGGGGGCCGCGCTCGGCGAGCGGGCGTCGGGGCCCCTCGCCCCTCCCGCTGGGCCGTGCACTGGGCCGGTACCTGTGAGCAGCTCGAACCTGTGTCCCAGCAGCTTCATGTCGGCGGCGCAGGCTGGAGCGAGCCGGGAGCAGGAGGCGCCGCCCGAGCCTGGAGCGCTCTCGCCGCCCCCCACGCCGCGCTCACCCCTCCCTCCAAAACGGTTTAAAAAAATCCACCAATTGCACGGCTGCGCACCCCTAAAAGGCGCCCGGAGCCACCTGGTCGGGGCGAACTCCACCAGGAGGCGGCGACGGGAGGGGCCCCGCGCCCGCCGCCCCCAGAGCCGCCGAGGGGGCGGCGCGGACCGGGGGTGCGGGGAGGGTCCCCGAGTCCGGGCGCGAAAGAGCCGGTGGTGGTGGTGGTGGTGGCGGTGAGGTCCGGCGGGGCCGGGACGCGGGGGTGCGCCCCGGCAAAGAGGAGTCTAGGGTGCGGGGCGGCGGAGGGTGGGGGTCCGCCGACTCACCACGGGTGCCTTGAGCGCGATGCGGGATGCGGGATGCGGGGCCTGGCGCGGCGCGCGGGCGCAGGTGCGGGACCCGGAGCCGCGCGGCTGGGGGCGGGGGCGGACTGGGGGCGGCGCACCGCGGGTGGGGGGGGGCGTGCCCGGGGCGGGGCGGGGGCGAGGGGCGCGGACTGCACCCCGCGGTACCCGGGGCGCTCCGCAGGCGGGTGACCGGCCTTGCCCCCTCCCCCAAGCCTCCCAGGGGGACACCCCAGCCAGGTGGTGACGCCCATCCCCGCCCCCAGCCCAGCCCACCACCTGGGCACCGCTGCGCTGGAAGAACTGGGAATTTAGGGCCCTTGGGGCATGGTCCCCCATTTCTAGAGTCTGGGGGGGTTTTCTTGGAGAACCCTGGGGGTCCTACCCAGCCTGGGGAGGTCTGATCTCACCTTGGTTCTCCCGGAAAGGTCCTTGGGATGACCCCCTGACTTCTGCGAGGCCCACTCCAATCCCACCCTGTGTCCTTGCTCTCCTGGATCCCCCCCGCCCCCCCAAACCGGGAGAGCCCGTCCTCGGCCTGCACTGAGGGGGGTGGGCATGAGGGAGTTTAAGGAGCAGGAAAAGGCCTTGGCGGGGCACGTGCCCCAGGTCCTCCCCATAGTCCCCAGAGGGGTAGCACGTGGTCACCCTGCAAGTTCTGGATGGGATAGCGGTGGGGAGAGGGGACCCCTGGGCTTCCTGGCAGCAAGATGGCATGAAAGAGACCCACTTGCAGTATGCAGGAGCTGGGAGATTTGGGGCCCCCATGGGTTGCAGGCTTTCGGGGTGCAGAGGAGGCAGCGAGCCTGGGGGCGCCTCACGGTCTGGGGCTCACTTACCTCGCAGAAACCCCTGCCTCTCCTCCTCCTCCTTGGTAAAGGGGCTGGGGGGGGTGTGAGCGGGGACAGAGGGAGCCCCTAAGTCAGTCCAGAGAGAGGTCTGCAGCAGTCCCAGGCGCACACGCCGCTCCCACGTGTTCTGGCCCTGCGGGGTTAAGAAAGTGCCCCGGCCTGGTCCCTCGGCGTGGATGGGACGGCTACGCACTCAGAAGCTTCCCGAAGAATCAAATCTGGAACCTAGACAGAAATATGGAGAGCCATGTCAACCACGGGGGCTGAAGCTCTACTAAATAGTCGCTATTATTTTGTGGGGGTAATTGGGCCATACCAGCAGTGCTCAGGGCTTACTCATGATGCAGTGCTCAGAGGCCATTCCTGGTGGGGCTAAGGGGATCCCTGCGGGGTGCCTGGGATGAAACCGGGGTCAGTGAAGCACAAGGCAAGTACCTTAACCTCTGTACTATCTCTCTGGCCCCTCTTTTTTACTGAGAGAAAAATAAATGGCTATATTTTTTGTGTGTGTGACTAATTCCCCCCACCCTTTTTGTGGCTCACAAAGTCACTCATCACAGCTGTTTCTGGCAACGTTTCAACTCCAATCCCACCATCAGTGTGACCTTCTCTCCACTACATCCCGTTTCTCGTCTCCCCACCCCAAAGCCTGCCTCCTCATCAGGCACGGAATAATTTACTTTATATTGCTTGCTACAATAAAATGGTAAGTGGAATTATCAAAAAAAAAGTTCAGTGAAAGAAAATTTGTGAAAATTGTTATATTTCACTCTTTGTGAAAACCGGTGTTATTAAAGTCCTTGTCTGAGGATTTGCTGAGCTGTTTGGTGCTAGCTGAGCCTTCTGTGTTGTATTTTTTTCTTTTTCTCTTTTTGGGTCACACCCGGCAATGCACAGGGGTTACTCCTGGTTCTGCACTCAAGAATTACTCCTGGCGGTGCTCAGGGGACCATAGGGATGCTGGGAATCGAACCCGGGTCGGCCGCATGCAAGGCAAACGCCCTACCTGCTGTGCTATCACTCCAGCCCCTGTGTTGTAATTTTTGCTAATTGAGCTTAGCGGGCTTCTATGCTACTTCTCCATCTAATTTGCTGTGCTCCTACTGGGCTGGCAGTATTGTGGAATTTGGAGGCATGTGCAGCAGCGCATTCCGGGAGCTGTAGAACTGGGATGATTCTGTGAAACTGGGCTTACAGAACCCCCCCGAGGCTGTGGGGAGGGGGTTTAGGGTGGGGGCTGCTGGCGGAGGGCTTCTCTGCCCCCACTCAGAGAGGGTCCGAGAGTTTTCACTCCGAAGACAGGTGTGCCTGGGAGTTCCATCAGCTTGGCATCTCTCTGGGATGAGTGGTAGCTTCAGAAATCCTTCCAGGCTTCCCTGAGTGCCTCAGACCGAGTCTTGAGCAAAAGCTCACACTGAAGGCAGAACAACATGGCTCCAGGGTACGTCAGATTCCATAGGAGGCAAACAGCTGACAGCAAGAGTCTCCCCCACCCAGCTCTGCACTTGCCAGGAACCCTCAGAAACAACCCACTTGGCCCAAATAAACAGCTTCCACCCCTTCCCAGTCAGCATTCAGGTGGGTCAGGGTCCAGATCCGAGCCCTGAAGGTGGGGATGGAGTAAAAGAGGAAATGTGTGATGCGCGGGCCGTTACATCACCCGGAGTGTGCGGCCCCTTCGGGGGAGTCCCTGCTGTGTCAGCTCCCAGACCTGCTTCCTGGTGGTGGTGGGGGTGAGGGGTGCGGTGGGGGACAGGGGTGAGGTGTTCAGGCAGGCTGCGTGGCAGGCTTACCCTTCCTCCTATCATTACCATGAAATCCGGGGGTACCCACACTCGCACTCAAAAGGCCTGCCTACTAGGTTGGTTGGGCTGGAGTGATAGCACAGCGGGTAGGGCGTTTGCCTTGCATGCAGCCAACATGGCCGACCCGAGTTCGATTCCTCTGCCCCTCTCGGAGAACCCGGCAAGCTACCAAGAGTATCTCGCCCGCACAGCAGAGCCTGGCAAGCTACCTGTGACGTATTCGATACCCCAAACACAGTAACAACAAAGTCTCCAATGGAGACGTTACTGGGCCCGCTCGAGCAAATCGATGATCAACGGGAGGACAGTGATACAGTGATACTAGGTTGGTTGTGCCACCTCCCTGCCTCCCGTGGTACTCCAGTGGGCAGCATGCGGTTATCCTGGCCAGAGTGATAAAGTCACATTTGTTCTGAGGCACAGCTCGCCCCAGCAGAGTTGGGGGCGGGGTCTGATCCTTGCCGTGTGGGACAGTTCTGCACCCTGACACCTGCCCAGTGCTCCTGAGTCACATGTCCCCAGCCGACGGGGTTTGAACAGAGGAAAGTGGCCCACCCCTGGTATTGGGACAGGCCTCTTGTCCCGGCCTGGCTCCCGAACTTGCAAAGTGCTCCCTGCATGGCTGCCTGCTTGGGCCCTTCCCACTCCCACCTGTGAAAGGACCAGAAGACAGACCCGCACCTTGCCTGGGGAGGGGACACAGCATGGTCTCCCCCCCCACCCCACCACTCCAGAAATGTGGACTGAGGCAGCTGCCTGTGGAGCAGCAGGAAGCCCACACCCACGCTGGCTGGTGTGAGCACAAAAGGACTTCGGAAGAGGCAGGTGGGCGGTGGGCAGGAGCTGCCCCGCTGCAGGCTCGGCCTGGTGTCCAAGCCCTTTCGGCGCCCTCTGTATCCACTTGGGTCCTGGCCCTGAGCTATCGGGACCCCAGTTGCCCCAGGGACCCCCACATGCTGCCACCGTCTCCTTCCCAGAGGGGATTCTGTGTGGTCCAGGCACCTCTGGTGGCCAGTTCAGATCCACCGTGGGGCCTGGGAGAGCTCAGGTGGGAGAGCACTTGCCGGGCACGTGGGAGGGCCTGAGCTCAGTCTCTGATACACACAGGGACTCCCCCAACCCCCCAGCACTGTTGGGTGTGGTGCTGGCCATCTCTGAGCCCCACTGGCCCTTACCCCGTCAGGGCACTGCCTGCCCCCGCCCCCCGGATGTGGCGCATCTGGCAGGAGAAGCCTCACGGGCGGGAGGGGCTGGGGCCAGGGAGCGGGGTTTGGTCCCCAGCACCTCACGGCTCCCCCAAGCACCGCCAGGAGAGCCCCTGAGCACCATGGGGTGGGTGTGTCGCCCCTGAAAGAGTGACTGGTGTCACTTAGGATAGTTGTGGACTTGTGACAATGGCACAAGGGGCTGGGGTGGAGGGAATCCCCGTGGCCCTGTTCGCTGCTGAGCATCAGCTGTGAGCCCCAAGGGATGGGGCGTTGGGGAAGGTCAAGGACCTGGCGGAGGGCGCGCCTGTCACACCCCTCCCAGAGGCAGAGCCGCTGCTGCCAGGAGCCCAGGTGACTGGAATTTTCCATTGTGGTGATGACTCGGCTGAGTCACCGTCCTCTCCACTCGCCGTGTGCCCGGAGACCCGGAGCGAGGACAGAGGAGGGGCAGGTGGGGTTCAGGGGTGAGTGCAGAGCCCACGCAGACCTCAGCTCTTAGCAGAGGGTGGAGCTGTCCTCCCCGCCCCCCACCTCGGACCCCATTAACACTCCCAGACAGAAGGTCGGTTCTCCTACAGGACTGTCTGATGCCAAACCCCGGGCTGGGGGTGCTCAGCTGGACTTTGACCTTGCCTTTGACCTTTGTCCTTCCTTTCCTGCAGGAGGAGAAACCCACTTGGGATTTCTGGGTGCTGCATCAGGGCATCACAGAGGTTGCCAGGGCAGGACAGGGAGGGACAGCGAGGGCTTCCTGGAGGAGGAGGCAGTGGGCCCTGGCGGAGCTGGAAGGAGACAGGAAACAGGCGAGCCAAGGAGATCCGCTCCTCCTGA